ATTCTTTTGCCACATTGCTGATGTGTTCCCTTAAGCAACTCTTTAGATGCCTGAACTGTTTAGTGCCTTTTATTGCTGCTTATTGAGTTAAAAGTATCAGGAGGAAACTTTTTTAGAGGTAAATATAGGACATCGATCTTCCATTTCAAATGAATTGTTTTATTTTGATGTTTTATTTTAAGGGAGTTGTTTAAATGAGTTGTTTAATTTTACAGAATTTGCAAGAAATACCTTGTGGGGGGGGGGGCATATAACAAAAATTCAAACATTACTCTGGGCATCTGCTTGTTTCTCCAGCCTTGTCTGACCTAGGCTTGGCATTTGCAGTGGCCACTAGATACAGATGCAATCATGGATGAGTAGAGAACAACAAAACATTTGTGCCTTGCTTTCCATTTGGGCAATTGTGTAGCCAAATTTTCGCAAGGCTAAGCTGTATTTAGGTGCGAAGCTTCTCTTCGTCTAACCTTTGTCCTGCGTCAGGTGTAACCGGCAGTATCAGACAGACAGACTGACAGATAAATAGACGGACGGACAGAAGCACATATGGATGGACGGATGGATGCATGGACAGATGGATGGACATACGGACGGACACACAGACAGATGGACAGACGGATGCTTCGAAGCCCCACTTATCATCATTCACTCCGTGGATATGCCGTGATTTTTTTTTTCAATTTTATTTATTTATTTATACTATCCCACTTGAATCCCATGTCGGCTTTTGTGTGGTGGGTTAGCGGGTCGGTGATTCGTAAAAGTTCTTTGACGAAGCGTCGACAATCGGTGCACAAGCTGAAAAATCGGCGCTCAGCCTTTTTGTTGGTGGGCAGCAGGAAGGCGGCGATGACAGCTGTTTTTTGCGAGTCGGGGTAAACTCCAGACTTGCCGATGACATGGCCCAAAAACAAAAGCTCATACGTGAAGAAAAAGTTTTCTGGCTTCAGGGCTACTCTGGCGGTTTTGATTGCTTGAAGTACAGCGTCAAGGTGCCGGAAGTGTTTGTCGAAGTTTAAGGCAAACACTGCAACGTCGTCCAAGTACATGAGGCATGTCGGCCACTTCAAGCCAGCCAACACCCTATTCATAATGCATTAGAAAGTAGCAGAAGCTGAGCAAGGACCTAAGGGCATGACATTGAACTCGAACCGGCCGCCTGATGTTGTAAAGGCAGTCTTTCCATTGTCTCTCTCGTTGACTTTTATTTGCCAGTATGGTGGTCTATCGATGAAAAGTTCCTCGCATTGTAGAGTCGATCTGAGGTTCTCGTATCTGTGGGAGAGAGTACTGAAGATACAGATTTTTTTTTTGTAATTATTTTCGAGCGACAATAATCGATGCATAGACAAAGGGTTCCATCTTTCTTTTTCAGCAACACCATGAGAAACACCCATGGGCTCTTGGATGGTTGAATGATGTCATCGCATAGCATTTGGTCGACTTGTTTCTTCATAGTATCGTATTCGTGCGTCAAAATTGGGTGCGGGCTATGATATACTTGTTGGGCACTTTCTTCTGTTTAAATGCAATATTTGGCGACTGGGGTCTGTCTAATTTATGATGATGACGCGAGGCGGTTGTTGAATTGCAGGAGCAGGGCTTCGAGCTGGTCTTGCTTTCACTTTGGAAGGTTTGGGTTGATGTCGAAATCTGGTTGGCTACCTTGATTCGTCAAAGCCGGTTCGGTAGTATTGAAGAGAGTAAAAGAATTGCTGGCATCCAGAAATTCCTCCGTGTAGGCGAACGTCGTACTAATGTTGAGATGCCTGTATTCATGACTGAAATTTTTCGCCATTACGTTCTCTTTTCTATGATGTAGCTTAGATGTAGCTTTCTATGATCGTGCGTCAAAATTGGGTGCGGGCTATGATATACTTGTTGGGCACTTTCTTCTGTTAAAATGCAATATTTGGCGACTGGGGTCTGTCTAATTTATGATGATGACGCGAGACGGTTGTTGAATTGCAGGAGCAGGGCTTCGAGCTGGTCTTGCTTTCACTTTGGAAGGTTTGGGTTGATGTCGAAATCTGGTTGGCTACCTTGATTCGTCAAAGCCGGTTCGGTAGTATTGAAGAGAGTAAAAGAATTGCTGGCATCCAGAAATTCCTCCGTGTAGGCGAACGTCGTACTAATGTTGAGATGCCTGTATTCATGACTGAAATTTTTCGCCATTACGTTCTCTTTTCTATGATGTAGCTTAGTTATATGCCTCCTGCGACATAAATCTGATGGCCCAAGAGAAGGGGCTAATTGCCTTTGATGATGCTTTCAAAGTCTGCTGGTGTTTTGGTGCTGATAGAAATGATGATGCTGGAGCAAGGTGAAGTGGTGAATTGCGCTTCCAGCACATTCAATGCATTGTTTTTCGGTGCCATGGGTGTCAGCAGCGTGTTTTTTGAGGTTAGTGTTATTGACTAGAACTTTAGGTCAATGACAGCCTCATGCTGACTTGGGAAGTCTATCCCAAGTATAACATCTCTGGGGTGATGTTGTAGTATTACAAAGCTTGCATGATAAGTATAGTTATTGATGATGACTCTTGCTGTGGAGACTCCAGCTGGTATTATTGAATGGCCTCCAGCAGTCTGGATTTCGGGGCCTTCCCAAGCAGTTCTAACTTTCTTCATCTTTGTGGCAAATGGTTTACTGACTACGGTTCACTGACGAAATGGTTTACGGACGAGTGTTCACTAGAGAGGTGACGTTGTTGTCGTTGAATAGTATGTCGCAGTAACTAGTTCATCGTCTTGCGTTGTGGTTAAGTAGTTACGGCTGCGTAGGTTTGCACTGCTGCTTCCATGTTACGTCACGAACCTGAACTCGCAGCACCTCCACTAGATGTCTTGGTGTTGTCACGTGGATGAAGGGAGCCGTTGGCATCTTCAAGGTGGATTTCCTTATTTGACCAAAGTTGTGGCCATAAAATGGAAATTCAAATTACAGCAGGCAATGCTGCTGTACACTGTTATCAGCGCACAGAGCATCAGTCGTCGATAAACGGATCGGTAAGGCGTGTTGGCATTCATAGATGCGGCAATGAACATTCTAGCAATATTGCTGGGGGCCAGAAACATTCGAGAATAAACTTGACTCTTGGCGTTTGCACGCTCAAGCATAGCACGTGATCTCAAAATAATCTGGAATGCTCCCAGACATTCTGGCGCAGTTTACGCAAGGCATTGTCAACGCGTGCAATGGGCAGAGAACATAAAAACTTGGAAAAAAAAAGAGTGGGTGTGACAATAGAATAGTGCAGTTTTCAAAAGTTTCCAAAGGTATTTAAAGGTATTTAGCTATTTGATCCAACTATGTTAAACACCTTACTGTACTTAAGCTATCATAGCGGCATATAATTCAGCTTGGTTACGTATACTCAGCCTGCTCGGTTGAGCTGAGGCACTTGATAAATATCTGTTGCATAGCATTAGTCTTTTTTTTCTGCTTCATGATAGTGCACACATGTTTATAATGTTAGTTATGTAATACTCTGAAAAATTACCGACAAAGCTTCTGTTGTGACAAGTGCTTCAGGAACACCCACCATCGAAGCATAGCAGCTATCTTTTGCACTGCTAAGGCCAAGGATGTGGGTTTGATGCTTGGCCATGGTGGTGGCATTTCAATGGAAATGATATGCAAGAACACCTATGTACTTTAAGGAATACCAATGTGAAACAACGAATCTGTGTAGATTGGTATATTTTGCTCTAGGTACATTAATAGTGGAGAAAATTGAGGTCAAAGTATCAGTCATAAATTTTGCACCAAAATCTCCTTGACAAAATCCTCATCATAGATTTCAAAGTGAAATTTTTGTACTTCGGTGTCATTGGCTGAACGAAATTCATTGAAGCTTGGTATTCTAAGTCTACAGTCCCCTCAGAGGACATTGTTCTTGATTTTTACTGATCGGAGCTACTTATGTTCTTGTAGATGCCATCAGATTCTATGATGTCACAGCAACTGGAGTGAAACTTCGTGGTGGTGACGTCACCCACATTTTGTTTTTGTACATTTTCTCAACTACCACGTTTCATTTTTTTGCTGCAAGCATGCCATTTCAGTATTGTGAAAGAGTAATTTAGTACTGCAAGAAAGATTATTCTCTTTACTGTCCTCTTAAGTTTAAGTGTGCATTCAAAAAGTCTAGGTGGTTAAAATTAATATGTAATCTTCTCCTGCAGTCTGCGTTAACACCCTACTGTGGTTTCAGCAGTTGAAATCCCAGAGTTTTTGATGCTTCAGTAGCAATAAAGTTTTTTATAAGAATTCTGAAATATCAGATTGTAATGAAAACAATCATGGTAATGTTATTTGAGGGGAAGCTGTAAAGTAACCTTATGAGCACTTTAATATCTTTATATGCACAATTTGGGGTCCACATCGTATGTGAACCTTGGAATAAGTCGGTCCGGCAATATCTGGAACTTAACGTCGCAAGTGCAGGGTTCATGCAAAACAGTTGGTAAATACTGTGGAAGCTTATGAAGTCACCAGACCATATGATTAGATAAAGCTCAACCTATGTAAGGAAAGCAAGTGTGGTAGTGGTGCGTTAATGTAGGTTAATGAATCTTTAGAGCGTGTTACTTTTATATGAGGAGGGTTCATGCCATTTCTGCTCTATGTGATTTGTGCTTGACAGGTTCACCTTGCTGTGATATGTGTGTAATGTATGCAGGGATGCTCTGTATATCTTGCTCATTGAAATGTATGTGGTGACCCCTTGCAGGCCATGCTCAACCACATGCCATCAGGTTTTGTAGCTTATGTTTGTACAAATTAACAGCATAGTGTGGATAGTGTAAACACTCTTGACCTTGTCATAATGCTTTAGTACTGCTTGTTACAATAATACTAAGCACTACTTGTGGTCCATTCTGGAATATTGTGGGTTGAATTAAGCTTTATCTTGTTGCCTCCGTCAAGTGTTCTTTCCAATTGTATTTGTCTTACCAAAATTGAATCACTAGTAACATGCTTCATGTTTGGTATAGAGTCGCAAGATGCTACCAGCTACACCTGAGCGTGTTGGGGGCCGATGCTTGCAGCCCGTGGAACATGACAATCAGGGTGGTCATGCATACAGTCGAGTCTTTCTTGAGTACTCGCTCATGTCTGAATAGTAAGTATTGTCTTGCGTGCATAACTCTTTTTTGTTGGCACTTCGTGATTTAGTGCACGTTCTCTTTTTCATCTAATGGTCAAGAACAATGATTGATTCCAATAGTTTTAAATACCTTTTAAGTAAACACTTTTTAATTCTGCTGACCGGTGGGTAACATGCCCATCAACTGAAATCATAACTAAACAGTACTTTTTACTACATTTTACAATGCACTATTTTGTAACATGACTAGTTAGGAATGAAATAAAATGCACATTAAAATGAAGTTATGTGGCCATAATTTTCTACAAGGAGAGGGGGTGGTGGTATTGAAGTGTCTTTTAAAATAACTGAGCTCCACCAATTTTCTGCTTTAGTTTTGCATAATGAACACGTGGTGTGTGTGATACAGGCAATGTGGCTGGCATTGAATTCTGTCGAGGGGGGGGGGGGGGGGGGGTTCTAGTGGCTAAGGTACTAGGCTGCTGACCTGCAGGTCGCGGAATCGAATGTCGGCTGCATTTTCAATGGAGGCAGAAATGCTGCAGGCCCGTGTGCTCAGATTTCAGTGCACATTAAAAAACCCCAGGTGGTCGAAATTTCCGGAGCCCTCCACTACAGCGTCTCTCATAATCATATGTAGTTTTGGGATGTTAGAGCCCCAGATATCAAATCAAATGATGTGGGCTGGGGGGATGTTTGGATGGATCTCTTCTTTCTTGAAGTATGTGTGTGCATTTGCAGTGCACAGTACATCACAAACTCATGTGATCATTCCCAGCTTTCACTGTGCTGTTGAAGTGCTTATGATTGAGCCACTACATTTGTTGGGACACATGCACGTGTGGTACAGAAATACAACCCGATAAAGTGAGTCTCAACTCTTAACTGACTTTATTCTTTTCTCTTCACTGCCCTCTCTTTCCTTTCCCACATGGTGAGGGAGTTGAGTAGGTGAGGGAAGAGCCGGTTAGTAGAGAGAGAAGAGCTCCTGGTGCTTCTTTACCTTATCTGTTTGTGGCCACCACACCTTATTAGTGATTCTGAGCATATGTGCAATCATGTTCAATATTAATCACCATTGTAGTGACAGACTCTCCGTTTACATAAAATCTTAATCTTTGTCTGTGTCAAGCCCACAAAATCAAACTGAGTAGCACAACACTAAAGCCACTAAGCTACATGACTAGTAGCCTCAATGATTTCCATGTGCTTGTTTCTGGGCCCATTAAATTAATTTCTCTTGGATGACCTTCATGAATTTGGAATGGTCTTTTATTTACACCATGTTTATGCTTCATTTGGAATGAGCGGCACATTTGTGGATGCTGTTGAATACAATTGTATGTCACATGCACTAACGTAGGCTAGTGGTGTGTGGATTGGAAGCTTTATGTTTAGTCAACACAAAATAAAAAAGATTTTATGTGGTGTAAGTTTTCGGTAGTATTAAAGGCATTTCATGTTGATCTTTGCTTTATTTCTTTTTGTTTGTACTTCTAGCTTGCTGCTGATGAAACAGCAATTGTCTGGAGTGTATGTGATGCCATCAGCCAGCTCAGCTTTTGGTAAGGTGTCAGAATGTGTCTTTATATAGTTCTTTATAAGCATTGTTGTTTTATTCCAGCAGGGTAGTATCTGATTTTCTCTTGTTTTCTCTGGCCAATATTATATCATAATAACTCACAAAGATCCGAACTGATATTTTGATACCAGCCAATTCAAATATTATAGGCCACTGACATGACTTAACTATGATACTGCATGGAATGCAGGAGATTTCTGCGATACTGTTGCAAGATACAGAAGACCTATGACTGAAATGAGAACACTTAAGTGAATGTGCAGAGCAAAAAGGAAAGGTTGTGCTTGGGAAGGCTGCCTTGTAGCACGAGGTGATTTTGGCCTCGGGAGTGGCATGACTAAGTTGACACAGCCTAATGAAGCTAATAGACAATGAACTGAAGGAATGTATTGGGCACATTATTTGTAGTTTTACAGTGAAAGCTATTATTATAGATCGCAACATGGGTCACGTGCGACACTGTAGTTGTTCGCCACCGCTGCTGGTGTCCGTAACCATTATTACATAAGACAAGAAAAAAACTCGGTAAATAAAAACACCAAGCACACAGTGTGGCTCGAAAACGGGTCTGCTGCGTGCCCGCCTAGTATTCTCCCACTGAGCCACGCCGGTGCTTGGGACTTGTTTGCAAACTTGCCTTAGGCAGGCTTGATGTTGAGAAAAAAATTGTGTTAATATGAGTAATAATGCATTTTAGAACAGCAATGGAACAACCAGGCATCACACAATACGAATAGTGTAACGAGTGGGTCATCCACTGCTCCAACCCATTACAATAGCTTTTTCTTGATCACCTATTAACTGTGGAGCATGCCCACTTCAGGCATAATTTCTCATCGTTGTCAGCCATTGCATGAACAATTGGCTTAAATTCTTTGCAAGTGTTTATCCGATACCACGCTTCTTAGAAGAATGAAGAAGGATAGCATATGGAATGCAGGCCTATTACCCAGAAATTATGATTATTAATGGTATAGCAGGTACTCCACAAGTGTTCTTGTAGCAGTTACCCAAATAGTGTTTAGAAAAGGCTCTGAAAGGCCACTTTTTTAGCTTTTGTTGTGACTGTGCTGTGCCTTCTGTGCAGGCCTGGTGTGTTTTAACTGTAGTGTAGTAATTAGGACTGAAAATGAAAGGAAAAATTTCTGTCTATGGGAACCAGACCAACAACCTTCAAATAATGTGTTCGATGCTCTGACAACCTTTCGGACCACAGTTGCATTTCCCCATTTGAGTTCGCTTCTGGTTAAGGCATGTTCTGTGAACCGCTATTTCAGATATGGGTTTAATTCTGGCTAAAGCTTTGGTTTGGGTTCAGCTCGACATCCTTATGGTTTACCGCAAAATCCTGAACCCCCCCCCCCCCCCTTCCCGCTGCCACCTACGGTGAATGATAATCTGATCACATTTGGAGGTGGGCCCTTGCACAGTCATTTAGAAAAATTCTAGATAGCCAAGAAGAGCTACTTCAGAATAAAGAATGCACACGCACACCTGTGCTTCTAATGAAATGTTTTGAAGACATGCATTCATTGTTTTCAAAATAGTGAATGAAACGATGAAAATGGTTAGGGGCACTTGTTTTGTCATTCATGTATATTGCATATCTTTAAAAAAAAAAAGGAGAGAGGTGGTTGATTGATTGGTGTCTGGTGTTTAACGTCCCAAAACCACCTTATGCTTATGAGAGGAGCTGTAGTGGAGGGCTCCAAAAATTTCGACTATCTGGGGTTCTTTAACGTGCACCCAAATCTGAGCACACAGGCCTATAGGATTTTCGCATCTATCGAAAATGAAGCTGCCGCGACCTGCGGGTGAGCAGTCGAGTGCCTTACCCATTAGACCACCGCGGTGGTGTAAAGGAGGGGGTTGGGGGTACTTACTCCGGTGAGGGTGCTTGCTCAGAATTTTATGGTAGTATGCACTAAAATTAGAGTAACACTAAAGAGAACTAGTATTTTTCTCGTGTTAGGGAATTACTTTTTCACAATGTCCAAATTCTCACGCTTGCCACAAGATGCTTGGTAAGTGAGAAAATGTGCAAAAAGTAAATCCAGTACCAACCACTTCGATCTCGTATAGTTTGACCGTGTCTGCCATGGCATACATCATTCCTAATTGGTAAATAAAGTACATTGTCCTCTGAGAGGGCCAGAGATTTGACTTGCCAAGTTTAGAAAATTTTATCGAGCCAGTGCTGCCAAAAAGAAAAAAAGTAGAATTTGAAATCTTTGGCATCACACACAGCGATATAAGCGTGAAATTTAATTGTGAAGCGTGGACCTCGGTTTTCTCCACTATTCATGAACAAATAAGGGGGAAATTAAGGTCATTGGAGTTTTGAGAGTACAATAATCAATCTAAACTGAATCATTGTTTCACTTTCGTGTCCCTTTAAAAGCAGTTAGCTATGTTTGCTTTGTCATATTTGTGTTTTGTTGATATTATTGTAGTCATTATTATTCTCTCATTTTCTGCAGTGTGGTATGGAGTGTTATTTATCCGACAAGGCCTATATCAGGGTGGCGTGTTTCGGTTCACGCTGCGTATTCCGGAAAACTACCCCGATGGAAACTGCCCGGTAGGAGGACATGTATTTTTGTCCAAATTAGTCCTTGGAATTGTAATAGTGTGTGTTGTGGATATGTTTATAGGAGTCGAGTGATTGAAGTGCTGCTCCAATTGCTCCAAGCTGCTCCAAAAGAGAAATGCTGCTCCATGCTGCTCCAAAGTACAGTATTTGCTAGTAACTGCTCTAAACCTGCTCCAAAGTGGTATTGGCAAACTAAAAAGAATGAAGTTGAACTATGGGACCACCCAGTGAGCCTAAGTGAAACCAAAAGCAAGTTGTATACACTATCAGCCTAGTATGCTACTAAGTGAGGTAAATCCAGAAAAATCACAAGGGGTGACACATCAGGCCATCCATGGTGGCCGATTCGTATTTTCAATATGGGTTGTATGTTTATTTTTAAATAAAATTTTAAATAAAATATTTAAATAGAATTTTTAAAAACAAGCATGGGGTCTAAGCTCGAGCGATTGTATTGCTCTATTCGGTCTTTTTTTTTTCTTTCACCTTTTTGCAATTTTCATAGTTCACACAGCACAGCTGAGTGGCCTTTCACGCAGGTACGCAGTTACTGATAAAAAGCCTTTAAAAAGTTGATTGCACTGTAATAAACTGTTAAATCAATTATATCACGTGCTGAAGCTAAATCTCAAGGGGGACACTTGCAACGGCTGTCCTCCCCAGCCTGAACACAAGAAGTTTGCACTCCCTTGACCCCCCCCCCCCCCCCCCATGATTTACTTCAATGATGCTACTATACGGCTCGTATACTAGCTGCATACTAGCATACAACATATTTAATAATAAATATAAATATTTATTAGATGGTTCAGTGATGTTTTAGACTTCAGGAGTTGTTAATAACATGTATCTGCTTTGAAAACACCAAAAGCAATCCTTAGCTATAGCATTTTTTTCTGCTCCGAAGACACTTAAGCCTGCTTCAAAGCACCATTTTTTCTGCTCTAGAATCTTCTGCAAAAAGCAAAATGCCGCTTTCATCACTGAGAGTCTGAACAAACTACTTTTATTAATGTTGGTAAGAAAGTTTGAAAACTTGACCGGCAGTTGAATCTATAATAGAAAGAAGTGTAAATTTAAGGGCTGCTTTTCTTTATTAGACACAATATCAATGAGAACTCATTGTCTGTGCTTATCATGTTAAATTTTTAGTGTCATAATATGCTCTTAGACATTGTTGCAGTGGAAGAAAAAAATAAACAAGGTACAGAAAAACAAAGCAATGACTGCTTTGGCAGTAAGCAGATGCGTGAATTTGGAACTGACAGGCTTGTTTACCCATAGCATGCTTAGGCTTGCATAATTTTCTTAGCTCTTCGACAAACTTTTGGTTTAAAGCAACTTGTGTAATAAAAGAAATTGCAGCTCATTTTCATCGTTTTATTTCCAAACGTGACACTAAACCCAATTTATGAAGTGTTGGCCCCTTCTACTACTAATGCAAATATGCTGAATTTGAGGAATATCAGAATCATTCATGAATTTTCGGTAATTCACTGCGATGTGAAGGCTTGCATATTTGGCCTGATTGTTAAATGGAATATATCAGTAAAGTTAGTTTAGGTTTTCTCAAGTTGAAATCTGTCAAGTTATTGCAGTTTAGGCATCATTACTGCATGATATTCATTATGAAATTTAGAATCTAAAAACTTACCGTACAAGATCAGGTATGCACATGTACAGTCAACCACACAAGTTATTAAGCCACGTAATTATGTGGCCAAAGGCCTTTGCGAGACCTCAATTATGTCAGCGGCCATCAACAACAGCTGTATGCGCAAGATGCATCAATCCTTTAATCTACAACTTGTCTATTTTCTCACTGGGCACCAGCATTTTCTATCTTTCTTTTTTTAACGCTATGCACTCTTTGGCAGCCTATCTGCGTAGCTGTTGTCAAATACACAAAGTGATATCTTACACAAAGTGCTGAAAAAAGAGGTCACTGGCCTGTTTTTTTAACAATGCCTCTAACTGACCAGACGGTATTCTGTGTTCCGTCGAATTCTCGACTACCTTATACAGAGTGATATGTACCCAATAGCACACTGTTCCAAGCACGCTGTGATAGCTTTGATTCTACAATCCTTATAGAAGTGTGAAAGTCGCACTGCAGATATGCACATACACTTTACGTGCAGACAACAATAATTGTGTGGTGCGCAGCAGTAGAATAGATATACCAGTGAATAACAAGCTAACCTGTTTCCAGCCTAGCACTGCGGTTGACAGCAGCCAGCACGGACGGGCAGTTTGGCGCATGCTCACATGGTCTGTGAACTTTTGTGGTTTACTGTATATACGAGGAAGGGAGGTACGTCAGACCCCCTCTTTGGTATGCAGTCCTGGCTATACTACTAGTTTTCACACCTTGTTGAGAAAGATATGGGGAAGAAAAAAAAAAGCGTGAATTCACTGATCCATGTGGCACTACACCCTAAGTCAGAGGTGTTTGCTCCTGCTAATTAGTGTGTTGCCCTTACTATAATACTAACGAGTATATATATGTAAACAGTATTTTTTGTTTTGCTGCATTTTATGATGTAACATAGGTATAACCTGCAAGTTCTCTTGTTGAGCTTGGGGTTGATTCATGTGTAAAATTATTCTTTACTAATGCTAGTGCATGTAAACTGCAGTTTCAGTTCTCAAATGCAAAGCTTGTTTTTGCTAGTAAACACAATGCTAAAAGTAATATTCCTGTTCAAAATAATTTTGCAAAGTAAGTCAAGTTTCATAAGCATATGCTGTGTGTCACCTGTGTTTATAAAGTATTCTTCAATTCATTGGCTTGTATTTTGTGCTTGTTAGGAAACTGACATACTGTTACTTTATCTATTTTTCCTTTCTCGTTGGTGCAGGATTTGGTGTTTGAATCTGCCATCTTCCATCCACTGATTGATCCTGTTACGGGGGAATTGGATATCAAGCGTAGCTTTCTTAAATGGAGGTAGGTCATGCTTAATTGCAGGCTTGATATGTAGCAAAACAGCAGAGCTGGTGAATAAACAGCTGAAGAGGCATGTCCTGAAATTGAAGATCACTAAATTATGATATGTTGTTCAGTTTGCTGACACATGGCCTTATGGGTTATGGATAGTCTTAGGTTATCTTAATAAATACTATGGGTCTCAGTATTACAGTTTATAAAAATTTCGGTATAGCAATAGTCATGTAATCGAAAAATGTCATAATGTCATATATTTACATATTCTATTTACAATTCATGATCATCAGTTAGTTCATCAGACTTCAGGATTGTAAAGAAGAAAATGCCATGGTCATTGGCTTGCTCATGACTTGCTTGAAAGATGCTACTCAAAATTTCTAATGCAAGCTTTTCCCAAAACTACATAATTGTTATTTTAAATGCAAAGCATTTTTTTGTGTACTGCAGGCACTTTGAGCACCTATCTATCTATCTGTCCGTTTGTCCACCTATCTGTCAGTCTGTCCCTCCGTATGCCTACATCTGGGTGCTCTTGTGATCACCCCCTTATCTTGGGTCTAAACCGAAAGCAGTATGGGAGGGCAAGATGGTTTGATGAATATGACTGACTGGTCAATTACGCCACAATATGGTCACGTACATCGTCAAACCCTTTCCACCAGATGTGTGGCACATACCCACAGGCAGGTATGTGCCACAAATATGTGCCACAAATATATGCCACGGGTATGCTGGTATGTGGCACAGGCGATTGGCAGTTTATATCTACCTAGGAACGATGAGAACTGACATGGGTAGTTTTAGCGTGTCAGTGTTAACAAGAAGCTGACGTTGGCACCGTTGACCCGACAAATTCAAAAAATAAATGTTGGCGTCTCAGCAAGAATCGAACTCCAGCATTTTGTGTGGCGATCAAGTACAGTATACTCTCACTAAAGGGAACTGGCAGTTTATATCTACCTAGGAACGATGAGAACTGACATGGGTAGTTTTAGCGTGTGAGCGTTAACAAGAAGCTGACGTTGGCACCGTTGACCCGACAAATTCAAAGAATAAATGTTGGGGTTTCAGCAAGAATCGAACTCCAGCATTTTGTGTGGCGATCAAGTACAGTATACTCTCACTAAAGAGAACCTGAAGGGACCAGGAAATTATGTTCCATTTAACAGGAGTTCCGTTCACTGAGAGGTGAACATAGGTGCATACTATAAGCCAAAAACCAAGCGTTGCAGAGGCAATGGTTTCATTTAGCGGTAGTTCCGTTTAAGAGATTTTTGTTTATTGAGGATCTACTGTATTCTACTACAGAGCCATGCCCGGTCTCAGAACTTCATTTCAAATAGACCTTCATGTTTGTGAAACATCAATTGTGGTTGTAGTGTTGGCTATACAATTTTATAAACATTACATATGTACTCCTATGATACAGCTCTCATGTTGGGCTAATGTCAAATGTAGTTAGGCACCGTCGGTTGAAGTTGATGTTGCAATGTCCGAACCATCCTCGCTAGCACCAGCACTCATATCACCTTATTGTTTCTGGTGTAGCTAATATTCGTGTTGCTCTTGGCATGGTTATGCAATTGTGAACAACTGGTTATATAAAACTTCTGTGGCTATTTAACATCTGTGTGTGCATTTTCGCATATCTTTAGTGCCACTTTGTAACGTTTCGCTAAAAAAAAATTATAGTGCATTCATATTCCATCTGCATGCTTTGCATAACATCGATTCCCAAGGTACGTGTGATCTGCTGAATTTCTTACTTGCTTTCACAAGTTTAGTTTCTTTACTCTCATGAAAATCAAGATTTTAGTTATACTCAAAGTGGTCTAAAATTGCTTTTAAAAAACACAAGGTGGCTAAAAAAAAACTGAAAAGAGCTCATTTCTAGAGTCTCTTAGAAATTGTCACTTGGCTGCTTGCCACTGCTTTTGGCATGAGGAGTTCACCAAGGCCACATGCACAAAATAACCATGATTGTGAAGCTTTCATGATAGAATGAATTATTTTTAAAATACCACCCTTTCTACAGATGATGTTTTGTTTATACGTTTAAATGTGTTTTTTTTCAAGGTGCAATTTTTGGCAACTTCTTGAATTCGGTCATCGTGTTTCTGGCACTTTTTATCAGCAGACTTGGATGAAATTTTTGTCACATTATCCTTAATATATGAAGAGTTCAATTATATTCTTTAAAACCTGATATCACTAATATATTTATTATAAAGTTCAAGTAAGCAATTAATGCAGGCCGGGAATTTTGTGACCTCTCATATTACATTTTTTTTCTTGTTCATTTAAACATGGTATATGCACTTTCTTGATAGTTATTTGCATTATACCTTTAGTGTGGAGCAATATTAGCTATTAACGGCTTATAAAAATGAAAGTTTAGTGGCAGAAAATTTATATCCAAACAGAGCTGTATTTGACACATTATCATGGTACAAAACGAAAACTACAGTCGAGCCCACATATAACAGCCGCACTTAAAACGAACTTTCGCTTAAAACCAACAATATCCGCGTGACCGTGAAAATATGCATTGGTTCAATGGCACAAAATCGCACTACAAGGAACGTGTCCGAGCGCCGCTGATCGGTTACAGCGAACAGAGTCAGCGGTCTGCCGACTTCCCGGGAAACTGATTTCGACCACCGATCAGGCATCGGCGAGGTGCCCATACATTTTTATTGTTAAATGCCGACCCTGCCTCCGCGCCCCTCTAGTTGCCGCTCTCCCGGACCGCTTTTTGTTACGCACCCCTCCGTCCTTTGTCCCCCTGCTACTCTGAGCACCCCACATCGCCAGACGAGGCCCGTGTTTTCACACTGCCACCAATTTTTGGAAGACCGGTCGGCCATCTACCCTGTTTTTGATCGCTGGTACTGTCGTTGGCGGTGCCAGCCTGGAGTGACCAGACTATTTGCCAACATCGTCGGCCACCGACTGTATCCGATAATCTGCGTCTAGTGCACGCGGGTACGCTACCCCACCGACTCTGATAATTTGCCATTTATTTCGTGTTTAGGACTTGTTCTCGCTCACTTCGCAGCATGCCTTCTGCGCGCGTGCGGAAGCGCGAAAATGGCTGTTAATTTGCGTGGAACGAATCGCGAAATATCGAAGTTCATGAGGTCAGCCAAACCTGCCAGCGCAATGAAACGATTTTTTGACCACGGCCGCCGATTCTTCGAATACCGCTGCGCGCACCGATTCAGGCGGCCATGCACTCTTTCCAAGTTTTTCTACGTGCGAGTTTCGCGGACCTCTCAAGCAAGCTACCCAACCTGCCTCCTTCCCGCATGTTTTGCTTTTCAAGTTTGCCCTCCCGCCGCATCCTCTCCTCTCTTTATCGCAACTCCTTGTCCTTTTCTCGCAAGTCTGATCACCTCTCTTGATCACAACCCCTTCGCCTGTCTCCACCGCTCCGCGACGCCTGTCACGCTGGCTCGAATTAGTTTCGTTTTTTGACTGGAATTGGGCCCAGAGCTGTTCCACGTGCTCTGGCATGTGTGTCGCGTGTGCGCCTCTTGCTCGCTCTTGGTGTGCATGTGTGGTTATGATGGCCGACGGGAGGACTAGCATGCTTCTTCGTGCCGCTTAACAAAACGTCGAAAGTGGGACCGCTTGGCTTGAGCGTAATCAGCGCGTTAGGTTCCGCGTTGTGGAGTGCTTGCTCATAGCTGTTGGCCACCTGGCAGCCAACTTGCCGCTTCGGGAATCCCTATATTCAGCTGTGGAGATGGTGAATATTTCGTGGGCGACGGTGACGACTACATGCGCGTGAAACTGTTTTCGCGAGGCCGACTTCGTCGACGTCGGGCCCGATGCCGAGCCTGAAGCTTCCGAACTGCGGCGGCGATTTGTGGGCGTGCGTCATCGACTCCGACCTGGGAGAGCGGGTGGGACATCTGTTGTGATAGTTTAATTACGGCCGATGATGATGCCGACACTGCGGAACCGCGCACGAATTGGGGCATTGTGAATGAAGTATGTGACGGGAGCAATTTGGAGGGATCGGATTGCGAGAATGACGAAACTTTGGAGCCAGTGTCTCATGCAGTTTCTGCCACGTGCCTCGGCGAACGAGCACCCTGCCGTTTTAAATGGAACTCGAGGCGGCCCCTATCGCTTCTGTTCTTCGAAACACGTGCATCACGGACTTTTTGGGGCAAAAATGTTTGTATTTTCACTCGCAATTTTTTTTACAAGCTGTGCTTCATTTACTACGAACTTCGGGATACAGCGAACGGATGCCGCGTCACGCTCAGGTTCGTTATAAGGGGGCTCGACTGTATGCAACTTTATATGAAACTGACTACATATTTGAAATAAGTATAAAAAACGTATGTAAATGATGAGAATTTGATTGCCCTTGGCCACCGATTAATGATTGATTGATTTGTGGGGTTTAACATCCCAAAACCACCATATGATTATGAGAGAGGCCGTAGTGGAGGGCTCCGGAAATTTCGACCACCTGGGGTTCTTTAACGTGCACCCAAATCTGAGTACACGGGCCTACAACATTTCCGCCTCCATCGGAAATGCAGCCGCCACAGCCGGGATTTGATCCCGCGACCTGCGGGTCAGCAGCCGAGTACTTTAGCCACTAGACCACCGTGGTGGGGCATTGGCCACCGATTAAAAAACTTTCTTTTTTATTAGCATCTCTTCTTAAGCATTGCTGTCACAGTAAGAGAGTGCCTGGTAACACATGTTGACACTTTGACATGAGGCATCATAGTACTAAGATGAGAGCTAGGGCCAGAATACTTTTGTTGATTTAAAAAAAAATAGCATTCAAGGCACTATTACACTACATTTTTATTAGCTCACACCCATGTTACGTTCAAACTTTTTTTTTAATAACTGAAGCTGTTGTCCTGGGTGGAGAAACAATTGCACCATTTGCACCATTGTGCGCGAATTTTGTTTACCTGCACCATCCTGCACTGAACCGCCGCTGTTGCACCAAACTCTTATCAGCACCATACTGCGCCGCAGCACCCGAATTTGTCCGCAAGGTGTGGAAGCCATTAAGCCCTGTGCCCGAAAACGTGGCTAAAACATCGTGTTTTCGGTTTCTTTGAAACTGTTATATTTTCGGTTTTGTCAGGGCTATGATCGCTCGAGCAGCAGCTGTGAACTTCAATTATGATCGTGGTCATGGTCACTGGCACACACGCTAACTTGGCAGGCATCAGCATGAATGGCACGTGAGCCCTTCTACATTCTGCACTCTCTAATGGGAAAAAAAACTTAGGAAAGAGCACCTCTCTCTGGTGCCGCCATGTTCTCTTATATACTAGTATTTTGTAGAGTTTCATCTGAATCACGATGAGCAATGCAGGCAGACAAGAGCTTTACATGTTGAGTATGGGGAGAACAAAGTGGCAGTCTATACAGATGTAATGGAATATAAGGATGAAGAGGCTTTTGCGATTGTGGTGGTGGACAGGCGGGGACTTTAGCTCGCCTCTGGATCGGTCAAAACTCGCTTCTCAGAAAGTGCATAGGGAGTGGCAATAGCACTAGCTATAGCCCACTCTCTGTCAGACATGATTCTCGGTTATTCGAAGACAACCATTCAAAATCTGGCGAAAAGCAGAATATTGGTAATCACCACACGATTGCTGCATGGGGCCACCGTGCGAGAAATTCGGGAAATAGAAATTGTTTGGGTACCAGCACGCTCTGGCGCCCCTAGGAACGACGCAGCTCACTTGAATGTTCGAGGTTGGACAGTTGGGCTGCCTGTTCCGGGAAGGTTTGCGAGAAATGGGCTGGTGTCCTGTCACAATATTAGTAATCATAATAAACTATAGAGCTGAGGCTTTATCTGCCCTCGCACAACTGGTTGACAAAGGCGCAGGGATGCATGTGGAGAAAACTGAAGACACGATCTTTTCTCAACCCATACATGTGGAGCAAAATATGTCCAGAGGGGATTAGGCCGTAATGCGAGTGGTGCCTGGCAGTGGCAACATGTGATCAGATACTGTGGGGATGTAGCATGGTGCTGCCGCTGGTGGATGTTGTGCGTGATCCTTCTCTCGAGCCCTGGGAGGTCGTGTTGACCAGATCAGACCCAGTCGTCCAGGCAAGGATCATTGAGTGGGCCACACAGGTCGCTGTCAACCTTTGGCTAATGACCATCTAACACAGAATCGTCCGCAGTTGTCTTCTGATGAAATAAAGTTTTACCATCCATCCATATGCGATATCAGATCCAAAAAAGCTGGATGCCAGCCTTCCTTAGTACAACACAACAATTCATTGCTACCACATCACTTGCTTCGCTGTTGCGGTGGAACTGGGATTTTTTATGGCAGCGTTTCAACAAAGAAAGAAGTGTTAAAAAGAAGCGGGAGTGGTGTCTGGTTCTTGCAACACCTAGTATAAGGCTGCTTATCGAGAGCACGCACACATTCTCGTTCATTTTGCCCCTGTGCTCCGTTATATGGTGCTTATCGACTTGGTGGTTGACGCTAGCTTATGGTTGCCCTGCTAGCGTGCACGTCATTAATTGTGACCACGCCCTTGAAAACAAAGTTCCCAGTCGCTGCTCGAGTGACACCCTTTACCCTTTCACATCTCTTTATCGTCATTCAAGACGAACAAGGCATTTCCTCTCTGCTTTGATAGGAGGCCTCCCAAGTAGTGTGATGCTTATCACCCCTGCAATCCATAAAGATGGGTCGGCTTGTTCGATCCCTGCTTCAGCTGCGTTCATCGCCCCCGTGTGCGCGCTTTTACTCGCAGATAGAACACACAATACGTAAGGGCAATGTTATCAATTTGGACTTTATACGGGACATGACAGCAACGGCGACTGTAAAAACCAGTCAAGAGTGCTGCCACAATAATAAGGCTATTGCACAATTTAGCTCAGTGTTTGAAAAATGCAGCATTGGACAAATGTTGTCTTACAAGTGCTTTGTAACTGGGCTACATCTACTCTGAACATTTTTTCTGACTGCTCTAAACTTGCTCAAGAAGGGCTTTCTGGCTGTCCCAAGCCTTCTATAAAAGGCACTATTGCCCGTTCCCAGGATTGCTCCCAAACCCATGCACCTTGTTCCATCCCTGTGTTGTCATTAAGTGCTAATAATTGCCCACTTGATATTACTATGCTCTTCTATCCATCTCGAGCTCATTCCTTATGCCTAGAATGAGAAAGTGCTTCTAAACAGATGGAAGAAAACACAGACACTCAGAAATAAAACTTATTGATTTCATGGCGGAAGAAACCATTGCCCTGTAGGTAACATGAGTACTATTGAAACAACTGCTAAAATTGAACTATTGTTTGTCATGCAGGAAAAACGTTAATTTTTTGTGGCAAGTTCTACTCTGTGCACGACGTGCCTTCTACAAGATTGAGACACAAACTCCTCTGAATCCTGAGGCGGCCACACTGTGAGTCATGTTTTCACCTAAGCTACTCAAGTGAAAATGTTCAACTGCTATATATTTAGATTATTGTGCAAGTAATTATGGTAACTATATAGGATTATCATAAAGAGATAAAAGATGTCTGTCAGTACTGCATGCTGGTATTTTCACTCTTTCTCTTAATGTGATGGCTGCCACTTCCAGTTAGCAGAGGTGGGGTGCTTGCATGTGGCAGGACCTAAAGACAACTGCAGTGCCTATTTAACTATAGTGTACTATTTACCTAAAAAGGAACAGCATGTTCAACTTGACACATAGTATCTAAAGCCAGACATGCACACAAGTACTTATGTATATGCCTCACTTCAGTGTGGGTCTGACTTAAGTTTTGTGCCAGGGTGTGCCGGTTATTTCTTTTCGGCACGTACAACTCATCCTCATTAAATTGGCACGTACAACTTCATCGGCATTAGATCGGCACGTACAACTTCATTGGCATTAGTATTCATCGTCGTACTCGTCGACATTGTTGTCATACCTTCCTGCCATGATAGGGGGAACTTTTCATTGTCTTGACGATTGGCAACCTTGCCCCCCGAGGTCGCAGTAGTTAGTTTCCCCGGCGCGGGCTAGGCGAAAGGCTTCTGGTGACGTCCGCGTAGCTCTGAGGGAAATCACGGTGACGCGCAGGTGATGGAGATCACCAGCGACGCAGTGGAGTTGCATGGCCAGGCGACAGTTATTCAGCATCGTGGGCACGACGGTCTTCAGAGCGGGAAGAAGCGGGACGAGGAAAATTCCCGAACCCAGAATCGCCATGACGGCAATAGCGGGCAATGTGGCCGGATTCTCCGCAGCGGAAGCAAATAGGTGGACGGTCGGCCATGTGCCATAAGTCAGTTTGGCAAACTGGTGGTCGTCTCGTAGAATCCCGTTGCCACCAAAGGTACAGCAGCGGGTCGTGGCTGGAAGGGCGCCGCCACAAATGACGATGGAGGGCGACAGACCACATCAGCGTAGCTCGCTGGATGTTGCTCAGGACTTGGCGCGGGTGGTGTAACGGCTTGCCTCGATCCCTGGAGGACAATTTCGGCAAGAGTTGCGACAGGCGGTTGGGTAGGGGGAACGCAGAGGGCCCGAAGTTCCTCACACAGTATTTCCCTAATCATTTGTCACAGGGAAATTTCACATACGGCAGTGTTCTGAGCTGCAGCACTTACTGCCGTGCGGTTCGGCAGGCGGTTAAAGTGTCAGCATCGTTGTTGCAGTGTGCGCTCAATGACAGTCGCCTCTCATATGAATTCATCTACTGTTGTAGGTGGATTTCGTACAAGGCCCGCAAACACTGGTTCCTTAACACCCTGCATTAGGTGACGCACCTTCTTCGCCTCGGGCATGTCAGGGTCAGCTCGTCGAAACAGACGGATCATACCCTCTGCGTACATGGCGGCTGTTTCATTGGGTTTTTGCACGTGGGCTTCAATCGGTTGCTATGCGCGATCCCGTCGGTCCGAGTTCAAGAATGTAGCGAGGAGCTTTCGACGGAAATCTTCCAAAGATTGGAATGTAGCCTCGCGGTTCTCGTACCACGTGCGAGCGCTAACTTCCAGTGCCAAATATGCACGGCCAAGTTTGTGCTGTTCGCTCCAGTGATAGGATACAGCGACCCGTTCGAACTGTTTGAGCCAGTTCTCGACATCCTCGTACTCTTCCCCATGGAAAACTTCAGGAACGCGAGGATGTTCAAGAGTCACCTGTGAGGGAAGAGTGGTCTGCGATGGCAGGATAACCGTGGATGTCATAGGAGCTGCCATGCTGGAAAGAGGCGGGACAGGTGCGGACTCCTGACTTAGGCCTAGTAGGCGCCGACTGAATCGGTGCACTGGAATCGTGACGAGGGGCTGAGTCTCTGGACTAGGTGAACGGGTCCGAGCAAAACTCTCCTGCATCAGGTTGTAGGCTCCAGCACCTCCACCAGTGTCACGACGTCAAAACAGAGGTTTTTGCCACAGAGATTAAGACACCAGAAGCAGGTTGGTCTTTTTAATAGAACGCGCAAGTGAGTTCTTCTTTTTCATCCATTTCATTGTCCTTTATGGCACATGCACAACTGCCATTGTCTTTCTTTTTGACAAACACATGGCACCTATGCATACATGCTTAAGCTTGCTTAAAGGGACACTAAAGGCAAATATTAAGTCTAAGTTGATTGTTGAAATAGTGGTCCAGAAACCTCGTAGTGCTACTTATGTGCCAAGGGAGTGCTTATTCTGAAATAAAATCACGCTTTAGTGGTTGGCATCACGTTAGCGCTCGTGAAATGGCCCGCCTGAAAGCTATGTTTCTGATGACACTGTTGCTGTGTCTATCGTTGCCCAACTTTACTTCGTGGCCGCCGACACCAGTAACAGTAGAGCGAGAGTAGTAGGAGCCACAGCAGCAACAATCGCCATTGAAAAATTTACTGCTTGCTTGGTTCAACTGGGCCCCGCTTGATGGCACCGCTTATCCAGTCTAACCAGGCGAAAACAAAACTTTTGAACCACTCGCGCCATTCTCCTTAGTAATTCCAGGCAATTCTTTTTTTTATGAATCAAACAAAGACAGACAGGCAGCATTTTATAACGTGCTGTAATGCATGGAAGGCTCTTTTTTTGCTGCAGCTGGTTTGATTAAAACTGATTTATTGCAGTTGGACACCCTCACATCATTGGAATCATTAAAAAATGTCCTACTCTTTGCACATGTGGTGTCGTACACTTACTTGCCTTAATTTTCTGATTGCTAGAGCAATCCTGTTGAAGATATTGACGTTTTAGACATTCACAAACATTGATATTTCAATCTGACCTAAATTATTATTTGCCTTTAGTGTTCCTTTGACCTTTGAGTTCAACATTCATATTCAGATGTTGTCTTTAAAGAATTAACATTTGTTTTAATATGCAGGTACGAGCAGAACTTGGACCAGTTCAAGCTCAAAGTTGCTGAGAGCCTAGCAAGCTGTGAGCAGCGTCTCTATGAAAGTCCAGCCACAGATGACAGTCACGCCTTACACTTCTTACCATGGGATTCTACTGTGGAGGAACGCGTGTCTCAGCGGCACATTCTTGATAAGGTTCTGGTGTGTTAGCAGATATTAGTTTGTTGTTCGTTGTTGTCATAGTAATCTGTCCAATTTAAGGCATTTGGAACAATGTGGAGGTGTTCAATAGAAAGAATACATATTCCACAGAAGAGAACTGTGATCAAGTAAAATATAATGCATAGCTATTCATTTTTTTTTGTGAATCTCTCTGATTTATATTATGTATGTATATATCTGTGTGCCAAACCTGGTAATCAATCAAAAGTATTGTCTGACAGACAGGTAGGCTCCAGTTATTTTTGCACTCGAACTTGGCGGCGAGGTGGAAAAAGTTTTGCCTTACCTATAGTTACATTCAAATGAGTATGTAGCCTTTTGTATGACAGCGAGACACATGTCTCACTTTTTCATCCGCATGAAAAATTTCTGCTTGCAATTAGCTTAATTTTTGGTCACTCATATCTTAGTCAAGTGTGCGTAATCTTAAGGTAAATTCTCTTACCACACTCCCAAAGGGTGAATGTAGTGTGACAATAGTGCTGAATTTTGGCTAATTTTTATTGCGATAGCACTTACATGAACAGTCTCGGCTTGTTCTTGCCATCGTCTTTCACGTATATATATATATATATATATATATATATATATATATATATATATATATATATATATATATATATATATATATATATATATATATATATATACATACATACGAGGAAGGATGTGCTAACCTTCTCTTCTCTTTCTGCAGAGCGAACATCGCCTTTCTCGCTGGGGTCGTCGGTGTGCGCTTTTCTCATGAACGAACACTCTTACACCAGCGTTTTGTAGTGATGTGACATCAAATCTAAATGAGTTGACTGCCAGCTTCACTTCGTATAATATTGTAATTTGTCGCTATGGCCGCGCCGCAGGAAGCTTAGTTACTTAGAAAATGCATGTTTATTACAATTACTATTGCTCCTAAAAATGCCAGCCTTGCTTTGTAAAACATTCAAATATGTCGCTATCGCATTGATTGCTTCGCCCATTTGGAGAAACTGTGACTTTCTTGCGTGATAGCTTCGATTCATCCTATATAGAACCTATCAGTGAAAATGCTGGATAACTTCTTATTTTCCTGGCTTTTCAGAGGGGTGATTTTAGCTTCAGGTCATTACGTGTTTTTGTAAATTCACATAATAGCTTGACCTATGAATGCTTCGAAACAATACCCTACGAAATCGTCCTGTTCTTCCCTTAGTCCAACAGGTATTGACCCATCCCATCCGTGGTGGTCTAGTGGCTGAGCTACTTGGCTGCCGACCCGCAGGTCACGTGATCGAATCCCGGCTATGGAGAATATATTTTCGATGGAGGCGTAAATGTTGTAGGCCCATGTGCTCAGATTTGGGTGCATGTTAAAGAACCCCAGGTGGTCGAAATTTTGGGAGCCCTCCACTACAGCCTCTCTCATAGTCGTATGAGGGTTTTGGGATGTTGACTCCCACCAGCACCTCTTTAATTTTTTTTGAGTGCCTGGGCAAACGCTCTCTTCAGGCCGTCAAGCGCGCACTCCACCTCCGCTCGCCATGGCCACAACGTGGCGCTGCGCGAGTAGATTTAGGGAAGGTGGCGCTGAACGGCAGCGCATATTAGGAAGCTCGTGAATTCGTGTTATAGTGGACCCTGTCGCGGTGGTCTAGTGGCTAGGGTACTTGCGGGTTCGAATCCCGGCTGCGGCGGCTGCATTTCCGATGGAGGCGGAAAAGTTGTAGGCCCGTGTGCTCAGATTTGGGTGCACGTTGAAGAACCCCAGGTGGTCGAAATTTTTGGAGCCCTCCACTACGGCGTCTTTCATAATCATATGGTGGTTTTGGGATGTTAAACCCCACATATAAATAAATCAATCGTGTTATAATGGGACTTGCATTCAAGCTTCTTGCCGGCTTTCACGGGTACAGGGGGAATGAAAAGTAATACGAACATGGCGACGCACTGTTTTCACCGGGCTCTGACCGTGGTGGCAACAAAAAGATGTTATATGGTCATTGTCACATGTATTACTGTCTTTTTATCAATATTCTATGCTACAACTGCTTAGAAATAAATGCGACACAGAAAATAAGGTAGATACAACATGTCAGCGTTCTCTTCTATACCCACTATACGTATTCCGAAAGCATTCTGTCAGGCCGTGCTACCAGTTCAATATTTGCATTCTAGTTTAACAGCATTTGAATTTTACAGCATTCGCGTTTTATTTTTTATTTTAAGCTATTGCAACCTCATCGTTTACATGCCTAGTCATTAGGGACGAGCGAGAAGGCAGGAGGCTGGGTTACGTGGACACAGGTTTATTCCAGAACCATGTTCTAGTGTAGGAGCCCAGCCACGTGCACCTCGAGCACACGCGGTCACCGGCTTCGCCTGGCTTGTCCTAGATGGTTGCACCTCCCAATGCGATCGAGCGGCGTTCGCTGCAGCAGGCGGCGTCACGCACCTGCCACTTCTTGTATGCCCATGGGAAGTGTCTTGGCAATGCGAGCGAGTGTCTATAGCACAATCACTGGTACTGGCACTATCTGCGTTGTTGTCACTACGGGAATATGGAACTAGCTTCATCCGGTTTCTACTCACAGCACCAGTGTCGGCGTCAACCCAATAAGATCAAGGCTTATCTGCTGGGGCTTGTACTGTCCCTTTGCTCTTGAGGTCTGTCACCCACATGGCATCTCCATAAAAAAGTTCCGGCAGGTCGCGGACTCTGTGACGTCTGTCGAAATCTTTTCTTTGACGTCTATATTTTTCCTCAAAATTCCGAAGGCTGCCTTGATCTGGCTATTGGGGCAGCTTGGTGGAACACAGAGGAAGCCTGGATCTCAGCTGACGACCCATGAGCAGTTCGGCAGGGCTATATCCATTCTGCAAAAGAGTCGACTTTTAAGCTAGAAGTCTCAGATGAGTGTCCTTGGTTTTCGTCGTGGATGTCTTGATGATTTTCACTGCAGCCTCTGCAAGTCCATTACTCTGAGGATGGTGAGGGCTAGATGTAATGTGCTTGAAACCATAATTTTGGGCAAAGAGCGAATACTCAGTCGACCAAAACTGCGGGCCATTGGCAGAAATCACTTCCTCGTGAATTCCGTGGTGTGCAAAAACTGACTTGCAGTGGTTGATTACGGATGTGAAAGTGAGCTTCTCAAGTCGAACTAGTTCGGGGTATCTTGAATAGTCGGTAGCTATCAACCACCACTGGTTCTTGAAGTGAAACAAATCTATCGCAATGCGTTTCCAAGGCCTCTCAGGAAATTCAGAGCTTATTAGTGGCATTTTCCTGTTTACTCTTGTTTCGATGCATTGCTGACATCGCTTCTCTAGGGACGAGACGTCAGATCCTATGGTGGGCCACCAGACACAGTCTCTGGCTCGAGCCAATGTCTTTGTTATGCCAAAGTGTCCTTTGTGCAAGAGTCGTAGGATTTCTTTGAGGAGTAAATCATTCTCGAAAGTGAGATAGTGTCGGTGGTCATAGAATTGTTTTAGGTTAAGTCCCAAGTCTCTCCTAGAGGGCCATTCTTTCTCGCACAGAAGTTGTGTGCGAATACGGTCTGCTTGTTGGGATGCCTTTAACCATTGTAAACAATGTTGCTTTATCGGAATAGAGGTTGTGATAGAGCACAGAAAAGCTTCATTGCTTTCTTCGAGCTTGCTGTCTCTCGTCTCTCACAGAGGCACTGCGACTAGAAGTTCCTTGCTTGGTACGTATGGAACCTCATATCGATATCGCATCACTCTCATCTTTAGCCGCTGTAATCTAAACGTCAAGTCGTCGAGACTCTTCGAAGTGAAAATTGGAACCAACTGCTTGTGATCCGTCTCTAGCTTGAACAGCTTGCCAACAAGGTAATCGCTGAATTTATTGCATGCCCAGGCTAAAGCAAGAGCCTCTTTTTCAATCTGAGCGTAGCGCTTCTCAGTTTCCGAGAGTAACCTCGAGATGTAAGCGATGACAAAACTTGCCATTTGTTTGCTTCTGCCGGATTAATGCTCCCAGTCCGAATGATGATGCATGGGCGGTGACGACTTTTTCTTTTGATGGGTCCTAGACTCCAAGGACAGGACCAGATGAGAGCAGTGACTTCCACTTGTTGAATGCTTGCTCCTGTGGAGAACCCCAAACAAATTCTGGCTTTTTTGACAACAGGAGTGTGAGTGGCTGCATAATATCAGAGAGATGAGGAACGAATCTCTCGAGGTATGTTGCCATTCCGAGAACTTTCTGCAGCTTGGTCGTGTATTTGGGACTCTCCATTTTCATTGTGGCTTCAACCTTCTTTTCGTCCGGTCTTATTTTGTCTTCATCGAGCTAGTGTCCTAGGAATGTGAGGCGCTGAACATTAAACACGCTCTTGCTGTCGTTCAGTGTCACTCCAGCCTTTGCAAGTGCCTGCTGCACGTTTCGGAGTGTCTCATCATGCTCTTGGCTGTTGGAACCCCAGATGAGGATGTTGTCCATTGACAAACAACTCGACTGTTGCCTTGTAATATGTAAGCCATCTGCTTCTGGAAGTGTTCAGGAGCTGACGCAATGCCAAATGGTAGTCGGCTGAAGTAGAAGTGCCCAAACGGTGAGATGAAGGTGGCGAGTTTCTTGATTCTTCACAAAGTGGAATTTGCCAAAATCCAGAGCTGGCATCGAGTTTGGAGAACACCTTAGCTCTATGAAGAAGTCCGAGAGTGTGCTCCACGGAAGGAATAGGATGCCATTCTCTGAGAACGTGGCGGTTCAGCTCTAAAGTTGACGCATAATATCACTTCTCCGGAGGGCTTTGGGACGACTACCATTGGTGCACACCGCTCAGTTGGCTCATCAACAGGCGATATGACACCGAGTTTCTGCATCCTCTGAAGTTCCTACTTTGTTTTCTCGTACAATAGAATTGGGATACGTCTTGGGGAGCTGAGTGCGAAAGGTTTTGCTCCTGGTTGAAGCTGAATCCTGTGTATTTTGAGCAGCTTGCCGAGTCCTTGGAACACCACTAGAAATTCTT